TTAATCTCTGCATCACTTCCACCCATGACTTTTTCACTAGGATAGCCAAAACCCGTGCAATTTGCATGGATGAACCTTTGTGTTATTATGATTGCCGGTTCATGAGGAAAAGTTACCAAACAACCGTGAGATAGTAACTGTACTCAGTTTTCATCAGTAACCCTCCAGGTGAGATGCCAGATTAACTACAGGTGGGGAATTCCTCCCTTGGCTGAATACAAACAACACATAGGACTCATGTAATGACCATCAAGATTCCTGTAGGTGATATAAAATGGCATTTTTGTGTCAGTAATGAATAGCAGTGTGCCATACAAAACATTCTGAAGAAGCATAGGGGTGTGACTGGCTGAGGACTGTACTATGCATCCTCTAACATTGTGCATGGCACTCAGTATTTGTCGTCACGGGATTAGCCCATTCTCCAGTGAAGGGGCAGGAACGGGACAGGCTTTATTCGAAGAAGTCTCATGCTGATGATTTGCTTTATTGTCTATTGTTGTTACTCATTCTTCTTTATTGTTCGTTTGTTATGGGCAGAATACCCCCAGCAAGATGGAGTGCCAATATATTGGGCACTGTTCGAATACAAAGATAAGCATCACTTGCTGCATTGTAGAGCTTGTGATCAAAACAGCCAAGACAAAGCGTGAAAGCACGGGGAGTACTTGAAATACAAAGTTATTTCCTTCCCTTTTGTACTTAGGAAATGCAGCTCCAGTCTGGCCGCACAGATTTTCCCACCCACCTCTCTTAACAATCTTATATTTTGAGAGAGCTTAAATTATCATGTTCTTGCTTGCAAAGAAAGGCCTTTCATGTCATGTTCTAACCACAGCCAGTTGAAATGAGCCATGGAGCTTGGTTCAGAGCACGGTGGCTCTGATGGATCCTATTATCCTCGATCCAACAGTGTGCTATTCATGTTGACATGACTAGCACAGAGAAAAACTGCGTACTTGCCAGACACCTTCATGTTACTGGATAACCCAAGTGACATAGTAAAACATGGAACAGGGTGTGTGGTTTCTAATCAAACTACCTGATTTTTAGTAAGGAATTCTGCAAGGGAGGCTCCCCCATTTCTCCTCAAAATCTGTGAAGACAGCTCCGCAGCTTGGGATCTCACAGTGCTTTTGCTAAAGTCCAGAGAACTGAGTGTAGACTAATTGGGTGCTGGTGAGAGGCAAGAAGGCTGGTTTTATTTCAACAGGCATAGTACCTGCTACAGCTTGGGCCTTCTGTGCCCATGGCTCTCAGGCAATTCAAAGAGGCCCACAAAGGGAGGAATTAGAGAGTAAAAATAAACTGCCGAGTTTATGATGACTTCAGTTGTTATCTCTTGAGACAGACGCATAGCATCTGTAGCTATCCATTATTTGGTGTGTGGGTGGCAACTGTGACATTTCAGGAACTCGAGAGTTTAGCTTTGATGAAGCTGGAGGCCAGAGATCAAAACTGGACTCATCTGGGTGGGCTAAGGTTCAGCCTCATCTGATGCACGTGTCTTCCCATAACACCACCTGAGAGAGTTATGAAGCCTGTCCTCGCAGTGCTCTCAGGAAGAAATGAAGTATTGCTGCAGAGATGGAAAACAAGAACAGGATATTTTGAAGATTTCCCAGCACAGCAGAGGGCATCTAGATTGGGACTGGAGTCATACAGAGAGTAGAATCCGGATTTTGAAAGAGAGTTTAAGGTTTTGACAGTGGTATTTAAAAGGGGGGTGTGTAATGAAGGATTTTAAATTTTTATATAAGAAAAGTCTGGAAAAAATCTCCCAAGTCATTTCAAATGTATGTTTCATCAGAGCCAAGTATGTGAAGCATTTTGTACTATTTTCTGCTATAAAATCCATCACGGAAAAAATGAAATTAAACAAAAAAATCAAGCTTTTTATCCCCCCAAGAAAGTATTGAAACATGATGACTCATTCTGTAGTTGTCTAAAGCAAAATTCCAGAAAAATCCATAGTCTCACAAAGCATTCAGGTTCCCAAGGGAGTGCTCATAATGAAAACACTGTTCCTGCTGAAGTTTTTCCATACAGCTCTGTTCAGCATCAGATCAGTATTCAAGGCTCCTTTGGCACTCAGTTCTTTCCCCATGGAGCCACTAGACTAAGCCATTTCCTATATAAACATCTTCCCCTAGGTATTTCCTTACTGCTTGCACCAGCTTTTGTCAGGAGACTTGGAAAGTAGTGTGTCTATCACTCTTCTAACTTCTCTTTCTTTTTTATCTCTCCTTCTCCCCTTCCCACTCTCCTCCAGGAACCTTCTGCATCATTTCACTGTGCACGTGCGTGGCTGGAATCAACTTTGAGCTCTCCCGCTACCCCCGCTACCTGTATGGACTTCCCGATGACATCAGCCATGGCTATGGCTGGTCCATGTTCTGTGCGTGGGGGGGCCTGGGCCTCACTCTTATCTCTGGCTTCTTCTGCACTCTGGCCCCTTCTGTCCAACCTGTCCCCAGGACCAACTGCCCCAAATCTAGACCTGAGAATGGGACAGTGTGCTAAAACAAATAGCAAACAAATACACACATACATATATACATATATATATGTCTATGTATACCTATACATGCATATATATGTATATATAATTATATATATATCTAATCTCAAATTAATGCCAGTGCCAAGGTAGAGCTGAGTCCAACACAGCACTCACATCTCCACTGGACTCTGTTGCTTCGTTCTTTCTCACAGCGATGGGAAAGCTTTTCTCTCACATGGCTCTTCCATCCAACTCTTTTCAGCAGCATACCTTAGAGATCGAATGAACATACAGTTGCATCTACCTACTGCCATTTGGGAAGGGGAACAGGGGGTCCATGTGGGGGATCTGGAACCAGAATCTGTACAGGACATGGAGGGTGGGGTACGGGGGGCAAAAACCTGTCCATTGCATCCAGAAAAAAAAAACCAACGCAAACAGCAAGCAAAGGAACAAATCAAGCATTTGAGCCAACTTTACAATGCACCTCCTCAAGGCCATTATCAGAAACCCGCCCTCTTTCCTTTTCTTTCTTGAAACAAAATGACAAAAGCCTGCCCTGTCATTGGTTTGGGGTTTATGGGTTGGGGATTTTTTTTTGCTTAAACCACAGAAAACAAAATGGACAGAACGTGTGGGGAAAAGCAGAAAAGCATTTTCTCTTTGCCTGCCAAACTTCAGAGAAGCAAACAAGTGAAAATAATAATAACAAAACCAGAAAACAACAACAAAAACTTCATGAGGACATCTCAGCGGACTTTCCAACAATGCGGTTTTAATCTTCCAGCTGCCTTACATCCAGGCTTACAACTGAGGCTGAACTGCTAACGCAAACGCAGCAGAAGGCCTTTTGAAAATGCTGTGATACATGTGTGTATAACCTTTTCTTCCCTCTCCTTTTATTTATTTTTTTTTTTAAGAAAAAGAAAAATTTAAAACATTGCAATGTGATTGTCCACTAAACCCATCCATGCTGTGTTTGTGGCCCAAGACTGAGGCACCGCAACTGCGGAAGCGCGAGGACAGCCATCAGGTCTGAGACAGCATGTCTCCTCTGGTGGATTTCAGGATGTTTTTTTTTGTTTTCACGGAGCATCTGAGAGTTCAGGATGGTGGATCCAAGGGAAGACCGACCAAGGAGAAGGGAGGTGGGGGGAGCCATGGCTGTTGTTCTTCCCAGATATTTGCTGGAGTGGGATTTCATCAAGTTTCTAGTTCGGATGTTTAAGACAACTGGGCAAAAGCCATTGCTGAGGAGGAAAGGGAGCCAACTTTTGTAAGGGAGAAGTAAGAGACGCCTCTTGTTGTGTTCATGTATGCCAAATAAGACGTTCCCACATCTTGTCTTTGGAAATCTCCCCGGTTCACTGGACATCTCCACTCTCCATCTGGGAGAACTGTGTACAGATGGAAGCAAAAAGGTCAGATGCAGAGAACAGAGATCCATTTCCCAAGAGCTCAAGCATTGTATGATATAATTGTGAATCTGCAAATGGGACTCTCTCTTTTTTGGTCTTTCTCTTTTTCCTGTTACTTCCACTTCCCCAAAGTGTCTCTTTTCTCCTTCCCTCTGCTCTTCCCATCCTATGATCTATTCAAGTCATAGGTCCAGAAGAGCTAAATGAACAGCTAAGTCTGGAGAGGTGGGTGAATGCTGTTAGAGGAAGCAAAGCATTTTGGTTTTGATGGCAGTGGGTCCTTGCAGGGGACCAGTGGCTGAGGGGAAGGTGGGGAGGAAGGGCCAAAGGAGTAACTAAAAGGAGTCTTAAAAGACAATGACTGAATGGCCATATGCAGGAGTAAGGGTGCCACTGTCAAATGCACAGGCAAAGGGAGAGAAGGCAAAGTAAAAAGGCCTCCCCAAAACCAACTCAACCCAACATGCTCTTAATTCAGGGATAGTACCAGCAATCCTTTCTTACACGATATCTGCATGCCATCAGCTCTCATGAGCCAATAAAAAGTCACCCTCTGCATCTAAAAAAATCTCACCAGGAGACGAAGGAAACCTGTTCAGACTGTGCTGTTGCACAGAAATTGAGGCATTCATTTCCAGGTCATGGCAGTTACACAGCAAGAAACAGTACTTTGGTTAAAAAAATCTAACCAATGAATAATTCTTATGCAAGACCGTTGCATAGCCAGATATTCCTCTGCCAGCCCTGCTTCCCTCCCTGTTACACCTTGTGTCTTGTTCTTGCTTTATTAACAGTGCCCAAATGAATGAAGTTTCTGGAGGTCGTGTTGGAGTAAGGTAGATTTGGTTTTCTTTCATTCTCACCCAGCCACCTAGCTTTTGTTTTCCCTATTCTACAAACTCCCCAGACATGCCAGTGCCATCTGACAAGTCAGTGTGTTGCCATTAAAGTGCCACCCGACAACTGAAGTTTCATTTCATTTTCCATTTGACATGACCAGAGAAAGTATTTATTTATTCATGTTGATTGATAATGCGAGCTTTTTGAAGAAACTTCCTTTTTAAGTCGATTAGGGAGGGTTTGGGGTTTTGGTTTGTTGTTTTTTTTTTTTTTTCCTGGCAAGGTTTTCAAATAGAGTGGTTTTGAAAACCTTTGAAACCATTTGACTGTGCAAGTGCCTACTAGGTAAGGAGGCTGATGAATTACCATTGAACAGGAGAAGGAAATTAACACTAAACAGCTCTTGGAAAGCAAAATGAAAACTGAAAGCAGAAAACCCATAAATGAAAACCAAATAAGGACTATAAAAACATTCAGAAATTTTTTGAAGTATGAAAAGTTTTGTGAAAAAAAACCCTAACTTCCCATTAAGATATTAATGCTTTAGGAAAATGATAACTTTCATTAAATCAGCTTTGAATGCAAATTTTCTTCCTCCTCTGCAGTGCCGAGTGTGATAGGGAAGGTGTTTCATGTGAACACAGATACCTGGAGTGACCCAGGCAAACTAAATAGCACAGAGGTATCTGGTTGGAGTCCACCTCCAGGCCCTGTGGCACGGAAAGCAGCATGAGAGCTCCTGTGATGATGTATGCTTCTGTGGTCTGTGACTGTTCACAGGGTGTCTTCTTATACAGATACAGTTTTGAAAGTGGTATTGCAGCAAGATGTAAAGAAATTGACATGATTTTGCTGTTTTAAGGATTCTCAAAGCTTTCCTTGCTTTCTGCAGCTGGCACAAATAGTTCTGCCTTGATGGTATTCTTGCCTTCTCTGGTGTTGGTTTACAAGCTGCATATGAGCCTGTGCGTTTGTCTGTGTGTGGCAATGGTGGAAGAGGGTAATGATTATTTTTTTTACAACAGAAGAGTGTTAACCCTGGATCTTTGGGCCAATTCTGTGATTTTCCACTTGCTATACCATAGGCTCTGTAAGGCCTGTGTGGCTATGGAGTATCTTAAAAACTATGGGAGTGTCTGAAGCAGCAGATAATCCTGTTACCTTAGTCTCAAACTGGATCCCCAAAGGGACCATTTCTCCAAACACCGGTTCTCTTGTCTTTGCCTCGGGTAAGAGCAAAACCCCCTTGGGATACTGTGAATTTCCCCCCATGCTACTCACAGAACTGGGAGGAGCTCTGTGTGCTTTCAGTACTCTTACATGGGGCTCACAGCTTTCTGTTGGCTCAGGCTCATCTTTAGAAAAGGGTTGACTCAAAATAACATCCAGATCCAAATTTGCAATGGTTAGTGTCTCCATCTGTCCTGAGCCAAAGCACACTCGCATCTAGTCTGAGTTTCTGCATTCTGGGGAGGCTTTGAATTGTCTTTCTGAACAAAGATTCAAGCTTTTTGATGAGTGTTTGGTTTTCTATTTGAGGAGTAGTTAATTAGACATGTTAGCTGTCATCCCAGCATTAAACGGCTTGACCCCCATTCCTCAGATCTGTTCTGGCAAAGCGCCTAAGCATGTTCTTTACTTGGAGCATGTGACTAATCACCTCAGCTTTGGTAGTCTGTTCATATGCTTAAAGTTAAGAATATTCTTTCCTGGATGATGTTCAGCTTCCTGCAGAGTCCAGCCCCGCTCCTCTCTTCTTACCCTCCCCTTGTAGATAAAGTGACATTCTTGTCCTAGCCTGATATACCAGGGCTTGTTTGGTCTCCCTTTCTGTGAGGTGGGAATGCAGGGTCCATAGGCAAAAGGCTCTTTCCCTCCCATGGACTTTCATGTTGCACTGCTGGGACAACATATCTCTATGCTCCAGAGACCACAGAAGAACTTGACTGCAAAGAACATAGATGTCATAAAATACGAGTCCCAGGGACACAGGATGAATTGGCTCAACCTATTGTGATCTGTAGGCTGAGATCTTGCGTGTGGTGATTCAGTTATAGTACAGTGAAGTTTTCCTGTGACCACGATGAGTTAGCTACAGGGGATTTGCTATCCATCTCTGCTGGGAGCACTATATATGTGATGGGGCTACATGGCAGGAGTACATGTGCTCTGAATCTCATGTACTGTATAGGACACCCTCTTCTTCAAGCTAAAGCTGTTTGTGTGTTAAAATTTCTGACTCATATTGGCCACCTGTATTTATCATCTCTCTCTTCTCCCTCTCTGCAAACACACAACTGATCTTTCCTGATCTAAATAGTAGAGCCCCTCCAGTTATATTTCTAGTTGGGATTTTTTTCCTTTCATTCTATTCCAGGGGCAGTCACAAGTGGATCACAAACCACCAGTGACCAGAGCAATTCCTCTGAAATATTGCTTCTGAAAAATTGCAATTACTCTTTTAAATGTTATTTCAGCTGCAGTAACAAATAGAAGAGAAAAACCCAACCAACCAAAAAACCCTCACAAAACAAACACAAAAAAAGCCTCAGAGTCCTCCAAACAGAGGATGCTCATCGTCTAAGGAGAAAATTGTGAGAGTTCAGGTATTCTGCTTTCCTGTAGATGCAAGTCATTTGGGACCACTTTCAACTATGGCATGTTAGCTGTGCAGTTCATTGGATGGTGAACAAAACAGCATTGGTGAGGGAGAGGATTGATATGCAGAGGGTATCTCAGATTCCTAAGGGTTTTTCTGGAAGACTGTGTCTCCATGGCTGTCCATTTACCCACTATGCAGCACCACCAAATCAGGCTCATCCCTGGAGCCCACTGATAAACAGAGCTCAGAAGAAAATCACTGTAATCTGTCCTTAATTCTTGAGTGCCAAGCTAACTGCCAGCAGTGAAATGGAGAGGAAATAATATGTTACCAAGTATAGCTTAAATAAAGACATACATTATTTGGGCTCTTTCTTCTGTGTGTCTCTACATAAGCCTAGAAGGGCTGTAGGAGTGCTCAGGCACATTCACACAAACCAACACTGTATTTCATTGCCCCCAGGTTTTGCGCTTTTTCATGGCCCATACTGCTGTGCTCACCCAGCCAGCAAGGGAAGGCTCAAGGTGAAAAACTGAGACAGCTCTGAATGATTGCCAGGCGCCACTGAGAGACAAAGAGTAAAGAGCGTGTGTGAAGCACAAACAGCATGTAAAGATTACTGATGGATGAATTTCCAAGGTCAGGAACTCAGTTTCAAGAAAGCCTAAAGTTTGATAACAGACTCCAGGCCAGATCTATACAGTCTTAATTCTGACAGTCTAAACTGAAAGCTCATAAAGACAGGGCTTAGCTCAAAACTTATAGCCCTACTGTTTCGAGTTATAGCCAGGAATATAATGCATCTGTTCCATAGTCCGTTGAAGTCCATTAGAAAGCTTCCCCTTGGCTCCAGTGAGTTTTGGATCAGGTGCCTTAGAAAATGTTTTAGTGCTGTCTTGGTTAACACTGAAAATTAAATGCGTGCTTACACACAGTATCTAATCTTTGGCTTTAAATAGTTGTCAGATACTACCTTTCCTTCTGGAGCCTGGTACAATGCTGTCAATTTAATTACAGTGTGCCTTACACGTGTTTAGGATTTAACTTGGAGAAAGCCTAGACGATTGCCTCAATATAGGCCACAAGAGGGAAATGAAATGGTGGTCACCTCTAGTAAAGCACTTCAGAATCACAGATCTGTTGTCCTTCCTTGCTCAGGGAAGATTTGCAATGAAAATAACAGAGGCTTAGATAGATTATCTCCAGGGAAGGTGAGGGATTGAAAAAAAAGGAAACCTAACAGCAGTTGCTATAGGTCAGAATTGACGAGCATTGGTAGAATTACGTGAGGACGCTCCAATGTCGCCCACAGCATCAGCAGCAGGAATTGTCAGACCATCCTAGGACTGCACTTTTATATTTCCTTCACTGATTAACACTCCTGCAGAGTGGCAGAAAGTGACTTCAAACGTTTTCTTGCGTAGGGTGTATATACATGGGCACCCTCACTCCCCTCCTTCCCTAGACACACACACATGCACAACCCATATGATGTGGGTGCTAGTAACCTGTGAATATGTGTACTATACAGAGAGGAAATACATGGCAAAATGCAGCATGAGAGTTTGTTTTCTATTCTTTTATAATTAACTCACGAGTTAGAGCGCAATTCAGATGCCATCTGTGTCTGTGCTAGGTTGTGTATGCAGAACCCATGGAAATTATCCGCTGAAGAGACATGGGGAAGCACAGTACAACTGGGACCATTTGGGTATTCACCATCAAAATGTATTTGGATATGTAAGAAAGAGTTGCCAGTATTGTTCTGATCCCAGAGATGCAGGGGAAAGGAAGCAGCTGAGATGACACAAATACGTGTTTCTTTCTGTGCATTTTGCCTTTGGCCAGATACATCCCCCAAAAAGGGAGGCAGTGAGCAGCTCAGGGCAGAAACACCCTGAAACAATGCAGCAAGACTCCAGAGCTGACCATCAGTGCTCTTCAGTGTAGGGTTTCGACAGAGCTACTGCTGATCCAGTCAATCCTTGAGCTAGCCATCCTACCTCCAAAAATGCAGTTGTGTCCACAAGTCCTACCTGCCTTCAGTTGTGCCCCAGAGTCCTTCCTACCTTGTAGTGCCACAGACCACTCATGTGAAATACGTACAGGCATCACTTCCTGAGTAAGGCTGAAGGAAAATGAAGTCCCGTCAGGCCAGCCTTGTTATTCATAAGATTGATTCTTGCAACCTGCTGTTGCAAGGTGCTTCTCTAACACAGATGGCCTCAGCCACAGGAGAACAAATTGCACCATATCACTTCCAAATCAAAAATGTTTATGATCCTCTGGTGTACAAATCCCTCTGTGCTGAGAGGCAGCGCCCTGGCAGGACACCACCTGAGTCTGTCCTCTGCAGACGGCTGGTGTGGGCTGTCAGCAGCATGAAAACTGCAGTTAATGCTGCTTGGCACAGCAGGAAGCTCCATATCCCGTGGCTCTGAGCCCTACCTGTGGCAGCATAGCATAGGAATATCTCTGTAAAGGCAATCCCTTCAAGCAGCCTTGTTATTTTGCCAGCTGGTCAGAAATATGCAAACAGTAACAGTGATTCTGCTGTGGATGAGATTAAGAGCCGAGCCTTCATAAAACTGTGTCACCCGTGTTTTGCCCCAGTTTCAAAGTGATGTTAGACACCAAGGAGCATGAATCAGGTATGGCTCGGTCTCCTGGGGCCAGCTCCACAAAAGAGCCTCAGCATCCAATTTTTCCTTAGGCAGTGAATAGGAGTAAAATACTATATGCCTTTGGTACCCACATATTTAAAAGCCCCAAACATATATGCTCCTAACTGGCTTAAGCTTTTGTGACCTTTTATCTCAAGAACAGTCTTCATCTGGCTGTTGGGCATAAGGCTGTATTTTTTTAAGAAAGGCTATTCATTAACAATATAGATTGCAAGGAAAAGGTTCAAGTAATCAGAACAATGAAAGTGCAGCCTTTGACCATTCAGTTAGAGCATACTGAATTATTTATAACTCCTGGGCACCAACAACAGTCACAGACGTCTAACAAACTTTTCTGTCACTTACATTGTTAACATTTATGTATTTGCCATTTGATCTTTTGCAGGACAAAATTTCCCCCACTTTACACAGAAAAGCGTATTTGGGGACTTTTGAAGATATTTTTCTGCACTGACTTGGATTTTTTTAAAACTTTTTGAGGCCTAGTAGGACACACTTTACAACTTTCAAAGCTGTAAGCTGTACTTAAAATGGGCTTGAACTTTCAGTTCTTCCTCACGTAAAATTCCCTTTGATTATAGATCATTGGAATCAATGGGAAATCTGCTTCATTAACAACTGTAAGACTGGATCCTATTTATGAGTATATGTGATGAGGGGAATTAGGTAAGGGGGCTGTACTTGTATGTTAGCCCACTTTTGATGTTTTGCATAGACACGGGAACAGTCACTGATAGGTCACTCCAACTTTATACCAATCTGTTTTTGTAAAAAACAACCATTACACTTGTGTGTGGCTGGAATAAGGCAGTGGTAAATCTAGCCCCTAGGCTGACACACATATACATGTAGATATGTGTATATATGTATATACATTTGTAAATCTATGAACAGTGTCTATAGCTTCATGATTGCCTGAGATAAGGTGAGGTTGATGTACAGAATTTCAGGCAAAGGACTGTTTCTTTTTCACAATCCTCATATATCTCAGATTTAAATTGAAACAAATGAAAAAGTTCTATTTCCCAGGAAAATACTCATTCTGCCACTGTGCCCCACTAAAGCCAGCGGCACGCATATCCAAACACGTATATCCAGTCATGAATATATGAGACTTAATCTCAAGGGCTTTTTTAAGAAAAAGAAATAGACTGAAAAAGCCAACAGCAGAATTTCTGTTCCACATTAGCTCTCTCAGGACACTCACCCTTTATTAAGAGGCCCTTTGTATGGATGCTGTTCTTCTGCACCAGGTGTATGTTTGTGTGGAGCATCTTTGCGGATGAAGTCAAGCTACACAAAGTCCTGGATTTTCTGACCTGCATTTGTCCTCGTTAACCTTAAGCACTTAACTGAGCTCTTTATGTTAACAAGCTCATCTTTTTCATTTCTTGTATAGGTAATGAAAAAAGAAAGTTGCTTCTAGATGGTAAACCAGTGAAACTGACATCTAAGACTGCTTTAGGAGCTCTCTCTTGCTCCATAGAGTGACCACTCACGTATCTTGGGTATTCCCAAGATCTTAAAAGATCTTAAATCCTGGTGAGATGAATCAGGGACTTAGTGTAGAAGAGCATCCATATGGGGATTAGCCATGGCCCTGTGCTTCAGACACATGGCCTGGCTCACCATGCAAAACATAGGTATTCATTGTTCACTGTTGGAACAAAAGGAGATGTTCATGGGAGGCTTCTCCTCCCAAATTGCAAAATGACTGCAAAGGATAGTGTTTGCCCCAACCCCTGGAACCTGCATTTAAGGTGAATTCCTTGTGGTGGTCCTAGTGATGGAGGTCAGAGATCTCTGGTCTGACCTCTTCAGCTTTCTCTGCCAGTCTTGGGCATTACTGAAGCAGTTCAAAGTGTGAATTTACATCCTAAACGTTTGAATGGCTGAGCTGTTCAAAGGTTACTTTCCTGCTCCATCCCCAAACTTGCCTGTAAAAAGTGATCTAGCTGGTAGTGATAATCAAAAAATTCTCCTCCAAGGTACAGTTTGGGTAGTTTAATATTTTTTTTTCAATCGTGATAACTGCTTTACAGGCAGCTTGTACGGAGATGAAAGTGATTGCAATTTCATCCCTTATTGTTGGGATTATAGTTTTCCTCAGAAACACTAAACTGAGGACTCAACAAGCAAATGAACTGTGACTGTATTCAGAAAGCTGCTCTGACAAGGCTGAACATACGTCTCCATCTTATGGTTAGAGTCTCTCAGAGCCAAACTCTGGAATTGCATATTGAGTCTGTCTGAAGGGACCAGCAATTTAATCCAGTATAAGAACTTTGGAGATCTTGTATATTCCCATATTTCAGCTGAATAAAAGAAACACAGCCAGAGGAGTGGGAGAATTAAACTGATTTCTGGAAACTCGAGGGCTAAGTGAACCAACATATGGTCACTACTACTTATTTCTACAGCTAAATATAAGTCAGTGAGTTGACGATCTTCACCCATCTCTCAGAACAACTTGATTTTAAAAAATATGGTTAGGGTTATGGCAAGACGGACTTTGGCTGCCCTGCAGGGACCTGTAAAGAAAGGATTCAACACTGTGTATCAGTACTTAGGGAAAGACTTTAGCTAGAAAGTGGAAGATAAAGCTGAGTTCCAGGGATTGCGCTATTTTCCAGCATGGTACCACCGTGACCAAACAGTACTGTTTCATCCTGACATTTTTCTCCTGTTCTCCCTTTCCTTTTTTTGAGGAGTCAGATATATCTCCCTTTCTTCCTTTTCCTCCCTCTGTGTGAGAATATAGAGATGCTTCCCGTAAAGACACATTTCTCTAAATCCTATTCAATACCAACTCTTGCATATGTGGCTGCTTTGTTATTTGAAATGTCTGTGAAAAAGAAATAAAGGCTTTAAGAGTGAGCTCTGGAAATGAAGAGTAGCTTGAGGATAAATCAAATATAAGGATGCAGCTCCATTTTCTGAAAGACTTCTCAGAAGGGTCCTAAATTCTCATCACTGCCCTCCTGCCCTCCCTCTCTGTGAGAGGGGTGGTGAGGGTCCTGGAATACAGGACTCTCAAAGGTTGCTCTTTTAGCTGTCAACTCACTGTGTCCCATGAGGCTCTAGCAGACTTTTCAGAGTTTTACTGTCAAAGGAAACCTCTTTTTAAAAGGTGATAATGTTCAACATCAAATGGGAAGTGGCTCTAAAGGGTGGCTCTGTCCCAGTTTATCTTTCTTTCCCATTCTTTACAACAGCCCTATGTGTCCATCCTGCACTCTCCTCCCAGCTGCACTGACTTTGCCAAGGGTGTAGCTTGCCAAGAGGGGCCTGCCTGGCCTCTCATCCCCATGCTGCTCTTGGATTATCTTCTTGGATAATTCTACACTTTCTCTTAAAAAAAAAAGTCTCACCTCCTAACAAAAGCCATAACTACTCCTGTGACCCTGCAGCAGGGAGCCTCGCATGGGACAGCAACAATGCCTGGCACTGGAGGGATCCTAGGGGATAGGCAGGAAGATGGGTGGAGCTCACGTGGCCCTCTCACATCAGAGAGCTAAACTATCACCTTGCCTTGCAAGCTCCCACCATGCTTCATGAACCACTCGGACAGTTCAGAGTCTGGATCTGACTTCTCACTGACTCACACTTACGCCATCGCACACCCCTATGGCAAATAGGTGTAGGCATGGCAAAACAAGCCTATGTGAAGGCATCAGCGGTTTGCACAAGGGTCAGTGAAAAATCAGACTCACTGGACTCTCCCTCATCCACAGCAACTGCATCTCATGCAGGTATTTGCTCTTTAGGATTTCTTCTGCCCCAAGTGATATTCACCCTAGCCATGAGCTACCACACTAGCCAAAAGGTTTTGGAGGGCTCCCCTTCCTTGGTTCCTACATTGGTCCTTTTATTCCTTAAGGAAAAGCATCTTTTTGTTTAGAAGAAATGAACCAATTCTCATAACCATCCTTTGGTGATGACAAAAGCTGAAATCACCACTGTCTCTAATTTACAGTTTGGGAGGCTTAGGATAATAATTTACTGAAATACTTGTGAATTGAAGCATGTCAGCACTTTTCTAGGACATTCCCAAGTAAAATAATATGACTGGTAGAAGACATTCATCATGTAAATGCATCTTGGCCAGATGTTTATGTTTCCTCTAAGTGCAGCACACACATAACAAAGCTGGATTAGAAAAGACCTAGAATGCCACAATATTCAGGCATACTCAGAGAAATGCATTGATATGATGCATTTATTTGGCATGTTTTGTCTTCAGAAAGTGTTACGAGTCCCACCAGACCTGTCTGAGGCAGGTAGTTATTATAGCCATTTTAGAGATGGGAAGCCAAAAACCTGAGAAAAGACCTGATGTTCAGTGGTTTGATGCCCCCTTGGAATTTCTGCTAGTTGCAGGTGGAGCCTTCTGTTTTCAGCACTCTTGAAAACCCAGACTGTAACTGGTTTATCCAAATCTGCAGTGGCTGTAAAGGTGAAAGCCAGGATTAGGACACTCAGGATCCTGACTTCATCAGAGCACTGCTACAGAGCTTTGATCCCACGAAGCACATGCTTAATTCCAAGCACGAATGTTCCATTAATGATGCTATTGCCATGCTTCAAGCTAGGCACCTGCCTAATTGCTTTGCTAGATTGGGAATTACATTAAAATATATTAAACTTCAACATATTTTGAAAATCAAAAAATGTGGCCATTTCTCATTATGTTTCGAGCATTGTCAAGGATATTTGAACTGTGTATGCAGCCTCTCAACCAAGTGGAGCACTTTTTAGCCAATCTGTGCACAGTTTAATGAGTTTTGGGTAGCAACATCCAGTTGTCACAAGTATTCAAGAGTGGCTTGTCCTGCGAAGTTTGGACTCCTGTGCTGCTACAAGAAGCAAAGTGGCTCCTGTGGCCATCGGTGCTAACAACACATCAGCAACAACTGACTATTGCGATAGGTCGCTCTGGTAAGATGTGAGTGTGGTGGCTGATTTCACAAGTAATGCAGGATCTTATCAAGTGTATTGTACTTTTCCATTTCTTCCTGTAATCTGTTTGAGAAGAGGTGAACAGAAGTTGTTTAAACGTGAAACAACCCCTAACTTCTTGTTCTGTTACTTTAAGGTGCTAATCTGCAGACACACGGGTGTTTGTGCACGGGCATCGGTGTTTGCAGGACTGTTGCCCTGAAGGATCATTTTAGTGGCA